GCGCCCGCTGGGGGCTGCCTCCTTTTCTCCCCCTCCCCCATGCTGCCCCCTTCCCTCCATCCTGCCCCTCCTCCTGTCCTCTTCCTCCTCTCCCTCCTCTTCCTCCATTACAATTACTCACTATGAATACTACTCTCCCTCTTCCCCTGATGACGTCTTGGGAGTAGCCGCCCCCCCCCGCGTATTGTTTTTTACACACAGGTTTCCCCGGAGTTGGGTTTTCGCCTGCATTTTTTTCCAAAATGCTGCTCTCGCTGAGGCGCTGGCCTCATTTTCGGGCCCCACTCGTTCCGAATCGTGCTCCCGCTTCAGCGCTGGCATCATTTCCGCCGGCGCCCGGGCTGCACGCCCGAGCCGGCGCCCAGGCCGGCGCTCGGGCTGGGTCCGGAGCCGGTTCCGGCCGCCGCTGGAAAATCGAGTTCCGAGGCGGCGCCGAAAAAAGGCCATTCCAATACACATTTTTCTTGTGAAAATGCTGAATTTCTGCTTCTGGCGCCCGGGAGGCTTCCCAGGCTGATTCCGACGCCCAGGCCGGCGCCCGAGCCGGCGCCTGGGCCGGACGCCCGAGCCGGCGCCCGGGCCGGCGCCCGGGCCGGGTCCGGCGCCGGTTTCGGCCGGCGCCGTAAAATCGAGTTCCGAGGCGGCGCCGAAGAAAGGCCATTCCAATACACATTTTTCCTGTGAAAATGCTGAATTTCTGCTTCTGGCGCCCGGGAGGCTTCCTGGGCCGATTCCGACGCCCAGGCCCGGCGCCCGAGCCGGCGCCTGGGCTGGACGCCCGAACCCGCGAACGGGCCAGCGCCCGGGCCGGGTCTGAAGCCGGTTCCGGCCGGCGCCGGAAAATTCGAGTTCCGAGGCGGCGCCGAAAAAAGGTCATTCCAATACACATTTTTCTTGTGAAAATGCTGAATTCCTGCTTCTGGCGCCCGCGAAGCCTCCCGGGCCGATTCCGGTGTGCTTCCTCCGCTCGTTCCGTATCGTGCTCCCGCTGCAGCGCTGGCCTCATTTCCGCGCTTCCGCTCGTTTCGACTCGTGCTCCCGCTGCAGCGCTGGCGTCATTTCCCGTGCCATGCCACGGCTTGCCGTGCAATGCTTGGTTGATACTACGCTTTGCGGTGCTATTCTACGCCATGCCACGCCGTGCTCTACAATGCATTACGTACCCTTTCGGGATCATTGCCCTGCTCGACATCCGACTGTGCGAGTAGAGAGGGGATCTGCGCCATGGTAAGGGATGGGAGGGAAGGGGTAGGATGTCAGATATGACGCGAGCGCACCTAGCTTGTCGTCCCCCCTCCTCCTCCTCCTCCTCCTCCTCCTCATCATCATCATCATCAAGATCAGCATCATCATCATCATCACCACCATCACCATCATCATCATCATCATCATCATCATCATCACCACCACCATCATCATCATCATCATCATCATCATCAATATTCTTATCATCATCACCATCATCATCATCATCCTCATCCTCGTCCTCGAACGAGTCCTCGTCCTCGTCCTCGTCCTCCTCCCCCTCCTCCGCTGAGGGGCACCCGAGTGGGTCCCCACCCCCATCGCACGGGGGGGGCTCCCGGGCAATGGGGTTACGGTCTGGGGTTCCGCTTCAAGCACCGCGTGGGCCTGGCCTCTTAGGGGCCAGGCCTGGTGGCGCTCCCGGTGCACATCACCCATGGCGCACCTGGCACAAGCACTCCCTGGCCAGGCTGCGTTCCCGAATTGACAACTCACAGGTGTCTTGAGGACGAGGAGGACGAGGAGGACGAGGAGGAGGACGAGGAGGACGAGGAGGAGGACGACGAGGACGAGGAGTACGCGGAGGACGAGGAAGAGGACCAGGAGGACAAGGAGGACGAGGAGGACGAGGAGGACGAGGAGGATGAGGAGGACGAGGTGGACGAGGAAAAGGCCCCCCTCCCTCTGGGAGGCGCCACTAGCAAGCGAGGGCGGCCGGCCTGAAGGGGAGGGGAAGGGGAGGAGGGGCAGGAGGGGTGCGAGGAGTCGGGGGTCGGTCGGCGCCGTCGGGGGCGTCGCCGCTGGTGGTCGTGAACAGAGGGGTTGTTGTCCTCGTCGCGCTCGGGTGATGGTGCGGTCGTGGTGCGCGTCGTGCGCCCCTCCTCCATCGCGCTTCCTTCTCCTCCTCTCTTTCTCCTGCCTCCTCCTCGCTCCTCCTTCCCCTCCTCCTCCTCGCCCGCGCGGGGGGGGGCTGCATCGCTCGTCCTCTTCCTTCTCCGTTCTCACCCACAATCTCACAGCAGCGCGCAGCCCAAGGCAAGCTATCGATCCGTGGTTGGGGTCAGGCAGGCGCTGGTTCACCCCGGAGGTACTTGCTTCACGTCGAAATGCTGCTCTCCTTCCCCTCTTGCCTCCTCCTCGCTCCTCCCGCCCTCCCTCCTCGTCCGCGCGCGCGCGCGCGCTTTTTTTTTCCTCCTCTCCACGCGCGCGCGCTCCATCTGCGCGCGGGGGGCTCCTATGCGCGCGGGGAGGGGGGAGGGGGAAGCGGAAGCCCTTCGGCGGGGCGCGTAGGGGCGCCCGCCGAGGGGCCTCCTCCTCCTCCTCCTCCTCCTCCTCCTCCTCCTCCTCCTCCTCCTCCCTCCCTCCTCCTCCTCCCTCCTTTCCTCCTCTCCTCCTCCTCCTCCTCCTCCCTCCTCTCCTCCTCCTCCTCCTCTCCTCCTCCTCCTCCTCCTCCTCCTCCTCTTCTTGCATGTTTGGGTAGGGGCTTCGGTGCCTGCCCATGGGTGTGCACGCGTCGCAACGCACCAGCTTCCTGGACGGAGTGCCCACGTCGTGGTGACCTACAGTGGAGCACGAACCCGCGCGCGAGGGCAGGGGGCCCCAGAACCTCGCCTCCCGGGACCCTTCGCGAGCCGCTCGCCCCCCGCCCCGACCGCATAAGTAGGCCAGGGTCGCCTCACCGCCCGCCCTCGCCCCCCGCCCCGCCCGCACAAGTAGGCCAGGGTCGCCTCACCACCCGCCCTCGTCGCACCTTGCTGGCCGCCGCCCTGGCCAGGCGGGAGGGCTTCCCTTGCTCGGCATCGGCTGCATCGGCTGCCTGGGCCCCCGCCGCCGCGGGCGCCCTCCAGCCCTCCCCCCCCGGAGGGCCCACTCTGCACCGCAGCCGTCGTACGCTTGACCTTTAGGAGAGAAAAAACACACAGACACAATTCATCGTCGATTCCCAGGAAAATGCGGGAAAATATGGGAAGTGGGGGGGAAGACAAAAACTCAGAAAAGATGGGAAAATATGGGGAATCCGGTTATTTGTGTGTACTACTTGTGTGTCCCAGGGCCCCGTCAGACCTGGCCGGGGGAAGCTCCCAACCTGCGGGCACCTCCCTGGGGCAGCCCCTGCTGCCCCTCCTGCGGGTGGCCACGTCGCTGCCCCTATCCCTCACGCCTGGGAGGGGTGGCGGCGCCGGGGCTGGCCGACGAGGCGGGCGTGGTCCACCCTCCGCAGGTGCCCTGGTGCACCCCTCCCTCCGTTTCACCGTCCGGGGGCTGCGCTCCTCTCCCCCGGCGCCGCTGCGCCGCACCCGCCGCCGTGGCCGTGGCGCTGCGCCTCCTCCGCCGTGCCCAGTGCGTCTGTGCTCGGCTGCGCGCGCCGTCGCCTCCCCGCTGCCTGTCCCTGCACCCTTGGCCACCTTGGCCCGCCGCTGCGCCTCTCTGGCCTGCCTTGCTTCTCGTCCTCGCAGGTATTCTGGCGTCGCTTCGCCCAGTCTGACTCCTCTGACTGTCACACTGGCCTGTCGGCGTATCTTTTCGTCAACGTCTTCCCTCCCGTCCACGCTGCCCCTGCCCGGACATGCGTATGGCATGGTTGATCCCCTCGGGTGGATCACTGCCCCTTCCTCTGAAGGCTCGGCTTTCTCGCCTCTTGACTTTCTACGCTTCGTCGCTGCGCGCAAGGCCCGCGTTGCCAAGATAATTACGCGTCGTTGGGTGTAGCATGGCCCATCCGGAGTGGCCAGCACGCTCCCGAACTCTCCTCCTCCTCCTCCTCCTCCTCCTCCTCCTCCTCCTGATAAGGAGAAGGCGGGCGCGTTGCCCCTGACGCGCGCGCGACGCGCTGGACTCGCGTGCGTCGGCACATGTGCTCCATTTGGGTTGCTGGATTCCCCTGCCGGAGGTTCTGCCTTGGCTCGCACCACGCCTCGTGGCATCTTCCTCCTCCTGCCCATCGTCAATTAGCTTCCCCCCTCCTTGCCCCTGCTGTGACAGCGGCCGCCTCCGCCGTCCTCGCCGTGGCCCGCGCGGGCTCTTCCCTTCCTGGCCTGTCTGGCCTTAATCCCGTCTGCCCCTCCCCCTGCTGGCCGGTGCCCCTCCCGCTTCTCTTCCTCGCCCCCCCTCCCCCGCGGCCGTGCCGCGCGAGCTCCCCGCCGAGGGGCGAGCGGCCCCCCCCGCACGTGCGGAGGGCGGTCTCCCCGTGGGGGGGTCGGAGGGCTCCTCCTCCTCCTCCGCCTCCTCCGCCTCCCCCTCCTCTCCTCACCCTCTCCTCCTCCTCCTCCTCCTCCTTCTTCTTACTCTCCTCCCCTCTACTCTCTCCTCCTCATCCTCCTCCTCCTCCTCCTCCTCCTTCTTACTCTCCTCCTCCCTCTTGCTCTCCTTCTCCTCCTCCTCCTCGCCCTCCTCCTCCTCCTCCTCCTCCTCCTCCGCCTCCGCCTCCGCCTCCGCCTCCTCCGACTCCTCCGACTCCTCCGCCTCCGGCCCGTCTTGCGATGCGGCAGTGCTCTCTGCGATGCGGCCCTCTCGCGCGGGCTTCGCTGCTCCGCTCCCCAGGGCTCCCCGGCCCGAGGCCCGCCGGCCGAGGCCCCCGGACGTGTTCCGGGGAGGGAAAGGATCGGGGGTGGACAGAACCCCCAACAGTGACACGTCGATTATTGAATTGTCCGTTTTCGGTTTTCGAGAGGGCGCCGTGGCCGTTATTTTCCAGGCTTGCGCCCGCCAGGTCTGGGCCTCAGGTCGTTTTCACTAAACCACGTTTTACTAAAGGG